GATCGGGAGGATCTCCGAGCAAATCTGCGACTGGGAAGTCGAAAGGCAAAGCGCGGGAAACTGGCAAGATGGGATCGGAGGGATCATCGGAAGGCCGTTGGGAGGTCAAGCCGAAGAGCTTGGATCTGAAAATGGCAATGCCGATTGCTAAGGGTGGCGTATAGACGTGTGCGAATGCTATGAAGAGGGAGGATCCTCCTTCTAGTTTGAAGATGGAGCTGATGCCAGCTGCGAAAGTGAGTTTGAGGATTAATCCAACTTTGTTGGGACGGAATCTTCAATGGAGGTGGAAGAACTACAATCGGTGCAGGAGGAGAGCATAGATCTGGAAGAGATGTTCGATGTCGATGCGGCTATGCCGGGTCGGACGAATGCGATGAAGATTGGCGACCAACAGTCATTGGCGATTGCTGATCCGATGATTGGAGTTGAATGCGTGATGGAGGTTAGTTCTAATTTGAATGATCAGAACAATGTTATTATGGATGATGCTGGAGGAAATGAGCTGGTAAGGGAATCAGCAGTGGTTGAAATGGTAGGGGCGAATGAAATAGAGGTTTGTACTGCTGGATTGAATAATCAGCAAAACAGCCCTCTAGGTGATTGTGGGAATGCTGCTTCAGTTAGGAGCTCAGAAATTGTGAAAGGAAAGGCTCAGATGCAAGTTGAGAATAGATTCCCGCTATTCTCTAGTGGTGCGAGTAATGCTTGGATGAAGCCTGAGCATATTCCGATCCAAAATCCAGAGGAGATAAATGCTTTGTCTAATGATGGGATCACTATTGATCTCAACATGGAGTATGTTATGGCAAATGTGGCCAAATTAGAAAGGGCTGTCGTTGGGAAGATCCTGGGAAGGAGAGTTTCATTCTTTCTCCTGAAGAATGAAATCCAGCGTCAGTGGGGACGTTTTGGGGAGTTTCAGCTAACTACGCTGGGTCATGATTGCTTCGTTTGTGTTTTGGGATCGTCTGAAGCCAGTAATACTGTGTTATGTGGTGGTCCGTGGTTCATTGGAGGGAATATCGTGGGACTGGATCGATGGAAGCCGCAATTCTCTCCAGAGTCAATGGAAGGACTATCCTCCCCGGTATGGATCCGTCTTCCAAACCTTCCTCTTCAGTATTGGGATGATTGCAATATTGCTAGGATTGCGTCGAAGATCGGTGTGCCGCTCTGGATCAATGCGCAGACGGGAAATTGGGGTAGAAGAGAATATGCCCGGGAGTGTGTTCGAATGTGTTTGGACAGGAAACTGGAATATGGGATTTGGATTAATGGTATGAACGGGAGGTTCTACCAAAAGGTAGAATATGAAGGCATTGGGATGTTATGATATGGATGTGGAAAAGTGGGGCATCAGAAGGAGTTCTGTCCAGCTAGAGCTGTTGGACAAGGGGGGAATGAGACCAGAAGAGCAGAGGAACATTCGAAGCAGGGTGGCAAAGGAGATGGGAGTTCTGCCCAGAATTTGGGTAGGAATGGGAAATTGGATCCCATACAAACTAAGAAAATGGTTTTACCTATTGTTAAAACAGAGGATGGTGGCAAAGGAAAAGCTGTTGACATCCGTGAGAAGGGGCGGAATGCTGAAGCACATGATGAATGTAATGGGGGAAAAGTTGTCATGGAGGAAGGATCACAGGATAATGAGGATCATACGGGTCCTTGGATTCAAGTTCCCCCACGAAGAAGAAGAACGACACGAGCACAGGGCAAGAATAAGGAGAATGTGGGCAGCAAACAGAATTTCAACATTCCAAAGCAAGTGGACTTGAATAAAGTTCAAGTGCCAGATAGTGAGTTGAAGCCCACTCATAAGCAGAGTAAGATGGGGTTCAAGCAGAGGTTGCCGTTCACGGTTGGTATTAGAATGGCTAACAGAGCCAATGCTCTGAAGAAGCTTAATCAATTGGGACCTGTTTTGGAGGCTCCCAGGAAAAGGAAAAAGGAGATAGTGGAAGCTACAATCTATGAGATGGGGGAGGAACAAGGCGGCGGGGACGCTTCCCCTTTAGTTTATTAATGTCGTCCATCCTTTTTTGGAATTGCAGGGGTGCCCGTAAGAAGCAAACTGGGCACTACTTGCGTAGCCTCATTAGCAATAATGAGGTGAATTTTGTTGGTTTGATTGAAACCATGGTGCAAGACTTCAGCCGATTAGAGATTAATAAACTCATTGGTTGTAACTGGGATTTTTTTCATGTTCCTGCTGTGGGTAAATCAGGAGGAATGTTGGCTTTATGGAGGAAAGATACTGTACAGTTTGAAGTAGTTATGACAATGGAGCAGGAGATTGTTGGTAATGTGGTGTTACCCAATTTACAGAAATGGGGAATTGTTATTGTTTATGCTAGCAAAGAGTATCATACTAGAAGACTGTTATGGAATCAGATTGGCCCACTGGTTAGCTCTGATCTCCCAATTATAGTTAGGGGAGATTTTAACTGTTGTCTGAACCAGGGGGAGAAGACAGGTGGAAGGAAATTCAGCTACACTATTGGTGCACAGGAGATGGCAGATTTTATGTTTATTAATGATATGCATGACCTGGGTTTTATGGGACAGAAATATACTTGGTCGAATAACAAGAGTAGTAACAGTAAGATTTGGGTGCGATTAGATAGAGTTCTTATGAACTCTATTGGGCTCAGGTTGGCACCATTGGCGACTGTTAAGCACCTCATTCGTATAGCCTCGTACCATTGTCCTTTGATGTTGAATTTAGCTCCCAATGAGTTGAAGAATGGTACTAGATGGCTGCGGTTTGAAGACATCTGGATAACTTATCCAGCTACATGGAAAATAGTGTGGAGTAAGTGGCACAAGCAGGGTGTTGGACAGCCTGATGAGATTTTAAATAGGACGCTTAAGGCACTATTTTTCTGGAGCCAAAATCGTCTTAAAGAATTGGGTGAGTTGAAAATTGCATTGGAAAGTCGCATTAAAGAACTTCAAATGATTGAATGCTCGGCGGATGGATTGAATGAAGAACAAGATGGTGAGCTGAGAAGAAATGCTGGGGAGCTTAATTCCACGTTGGCAAGGTTGGCGACGTGGTGGAGACAAAGAGCTAAAATAAAGTGGATTGAGGAAGGGGATGCCAACTCCCATTTTTTTCATTCCAATGCTTCAGGTCGTAGACGGGGTAATAGAATCATGGAAACTCAAAAACAGAATGGTGAATGTGTTGATGACCCGAATCTCATTCAGAAAGAATTTTGGCATTTCTTTGTGTCGAAATGGAAAGAGAGGCAGATATATGTGATGAATTGGCATGATTTCTCACAGGAGATAGGATCCCTGAACATATGAATGCTTCTCTGGAAGCGGAGATCACAACAGGAGGTTAAGCATGCTGTTTTTAGTCTGGGCAATAATAGATCCCCGGACATTGATGGCATCAATTCTTCTTTCTTGAAGTTCTACTAGGAGATCATCAAAGATGATGTGGTGCGTGCTATTCTTTATTTTTTTACTAATAACTCTATGTGTGATAGCTAGAAGGAAACTCTTGTGGTGCTGATCCCGAAGATTGAAAATGCCAATTCTCCTTCCAAGTTTAGACCTATCAGCCTTTGACAATCTTTTTATAAGATTGTGGCCAAAGTGATGATCAACCGACTGAAACCGGTGCTCAGTGGTATTATTAGTGAAGAATAGGGGGCGTTCGTCCCGGGGAGATCCATATCCAGTCATGGATTGCTTGAACAGGAGATTATGTCCAAATTCAAATGTTCGACTCAGAAATCTGGATTGATGGCGTTGAAATTTGATATGGAGCAAGCGTACGATTGTATGACATGAGAAACTTTGGAGAAAGTAATGGAATTGATGGGATTCAAGCATAGGTTTATTTTTTGGGTGATTTAGTGTATCACCAAGACAAAATTTACTATCCTGGAAATGGGAGAAGGACCCCATGGATATGTGCAAGAAGTGGGTTAAGACAAGGATGTCCCTTGTCTCCTTACTTGTTCATTCTTTGTTCCGAGTTGTTAACTAAAGCTTTTAAGCAGAGGGGAGGGCAGCTTGGCATACAGGTTAATAGACAGTCGGAAAGGATATCCCATTTATTGTACACTGATGATATTATGGTGTTTGCTAAAGCTACTAGAAACCATGCAATCCTTATCTTGAGATTGCTGGAATCATATTGTGAATGGACGGGGCAGAAGATTAATGGAGGCAAGTCGGCCATCTTGTTCAATAGGAAATGTCCTGTATGGAGGAAGAATATGGTTGCCAAAGTGGTTGGCTTTAGAAGGGTGACCTTCCTGGAGTACCTTTGGTTGCCATTGCTGATGTATAAGCCCAAAGCTATTGATTTTGGTAAATTGATTAAGAATGTTCATGATAAGACCAATTTGTGGGGGAAGAAGCATCTATCTTTTGCTGCCAGAGCTTTGGTTATCAGGACATCCCTCTTAACGGTGCCGATGTATCTGAGTACGCATACGACGGTTCCTAAGAGTATTCTTCACTCTATTGAAAAGATTGCTAGGAGGTTTATGTGGCAAAATGACTCTAATAGTAGAGGGATGCATTATGTAACATGGAAGGAGCTATGTCAGCCCAGAAGTCACGGAGTATTGGGGTTCTATTGTTTACCCTTCGTCCTATCATCAGGTGGAAGATTGGTGATGGACAATCTATTAATGTCCTCAATGATATGTGGATTTTGGATCCGAAGATTGCTGACTGGCCGACCTTTGTTAACATGGAGCTGGTGGATAATGCTAATGTTAGCTCATTGTGGGATAGTTTATTGCAGTGGGATATGAAGGCGGTGGAAGACTATTTTGGGAAGATCCTGGGGCAGAGGATTAAGGCTATAACGACTAACAATGGTAGTGTGGTGGATAGTCCTGAATTATGCTATTCCCGTGCTAGTTTGACTGTAATTGCTATGGCATACAGGGCTTCCATTGACATTGGTAAATATCCGTTTGTTTGGTTTGATAAGTTGAAGCTCCACCCTCGAGAAAACTTTTTCTGGTGGAGGGTGTTTAAGAAGGCTATCCCGAATAACTCCTGGATGTTTCACAGGGGTTTATCTGAGTCTATGTTATGTCCTTGGGGCTGTAATGAGGAGGACACATTGGATCACTGTATTACCCAATGTGATAAGTTGAGACAGGTGATATCCATTCTGGGTAAATGGGGATTTGGCATTCCGTGTGTCAACTCCCTGGAGCAGCTTTTTAAGGAGCTTGGTGACTGTGTTAATAAGAACCCAGGCGTTGGACGCATTTATTATTATGTGGTTTATCATCTGTGGCGTGCTCGTAATGATATGCGGCATGGAAGGTCGTATCAATCCGCCAGCGTAATTGCTGCTACAGCATTATCGCTGTTTCCAAGACCTTGTAGAACACCAATTCTGGAGCAATGGAGCATTATTCAGCCTTCAGGATTGCCTTCTCATAAACTACGGTGCCCCCCCCCCTCCAGGTTGGATTAAGTTCAATATTGATGCGGCTATCAAACTGAATTATCAGGCTGGACTTGGCATTGTTGCTCGCAACTATGAAGGCTCCCTTATTGTTGCTGCGGGCCAAAGAATTGAACATTGGGATGCTCTTTATGCAGAAATTCTGGCTGCTGAGGCTATCAGGAATGTATTGGAGGACTAGATGATGGAGCTTGATGGGATTATCATTGAAGGTGACTGCATTGCTGCTATTCAATGGATGCAACACTTGGGGGATCGCCTGAATAAAATCCATCGTATGGTGGACGGGCCGAACCTTTCTTTCTTGATGAATTTCAACAGGTTCTTTTTCAGCATGTTAATAGGAATAGCAATCGGCCGGCTGATTGTTGTTCTAAGCTTGCTAGCGTTGATAGTTTTCTTTTTAAAGATGTGAATAATCCTGAGTTCCCCTCAACATTGTTGTCTTTGTTGAGGTAGGAGAGTGATAGGGTATAGTGATATGGTGATAGTTTACTTGTAACTAGTTTTACTTGATTTCATTAATGCAAATGCAGATATTCAGCTCTCTCTCTCTCTTGCTCTCTCTCTCTCTCTCAAGCTTTCTTTCTCTCTCTCTCTTGCACTCTCTTACTCTCTCCCTTGCTCCTTCTCGCTCTCTCTTTCTCTCTCTCCCTCCCTCTCTCTCTCTCATGCTCTCTTTCTCTTGCTCTCTCTCTCTCTCTCTCTCTCTCTCTCTCTCTCTCTCTCTTTCTCTTCCTCTCTCTCTCTCTCCCTCTATCTCTTGCACTCCCTACAATTTGAATTTTCAAAATGGAGCATTTTCTCCTAAACCCCCCTCACTAGAATAACTCTCTCTCTCACTCTCTCACTCTCACTCTCTCTCTCTCTCTCTCTCTCTCTCTCTCTCCCTCTATCTCTCTCTCCCTCTCCATCTAGCTCCCTCTCTCTCCCCTCACTCACTCACTCTCTCCCTCCCCTTTTCTCTCTCTCTCTCTCCTCTCTCTCTCTCTCTCTCTCTCTCTCTCTCTCTCCCCTCACTCACTCTCTCTCCGTCTCTCACTCTCTCCTTCCCTTCTCTCACAGCAAGCTACGTCCGTCCCCCACGATCAAGGGGTGCAAGAGGAGGACTCGTTTGGTGATTGGAATCTGGTGACCCATAAGAGGAGAAACAAACCGAGAGCCCCCACCGAGAAGCCAACCAAAGGACCTATAAAGGGGGCTGAGCCTCCTCGGTCCCCGCCTAAACTCTCTCATGCTGAATCTCAGCGGATGGAGGAGATTTCCATGAGGATCGTCGAATCAAGCGGCAAAACATCTACAGAACAAAGGGTTACCTTCAGTGTCACAAGACCGGAGAATGATTCCCCGTCCTCAATAGTCAATCTTTCCAAACGGTAGCACAAGGCTCCGATGACTTTTTTGGAGAAGCAGCTACTCCGGTTGGGACCCATAGCCACTCTGCCCAGGAAGTGGAGGAAGAATCTACAAGATGATATTGGCGGGGACATTGTCCCCTTTGAGGAACAATGAGGCCTTACCTTTTTACATATTTTAGGGTGCCAGGGGTGTTTATGCAACTGCCGGAGCAACGGGATGCCTTCGGGCTGTTTCAAACCCTACTTAAGTATCTCCCCCCTCTGGAGTTGTTCCTTAAGCGCTCTTGGGACTTCTAGGACATGTATTTGGGGTTGGCCTCCTTGCGAATCAAAGGGGCTTTCCTTGTTCCTGCTGTTTTTCTTTTGGGGTGTCGTTTTTGTATGGACGCTTACTCTTATATGTTCAGGTCTTCCCCCTTTTGTTTTTTGTCTTGGGAAGACAAAGGCTTACAGTTCCATACTGTCATTGTACTTTTAACTTTTCAAGGAATGCAATATGCAATATTCAGCCCTTACTCTCTTTCTCTCTCTCTCTCTCTCTCTCTCTCTCTCTCTCTCTCTCTCTCTCTCTCTCTCTCTCTCTCTCCCCCACTCACTCTCTCTCTCTCAAGCATCATTTCGATCCTTTTTTCTCTCTCTTATTTTTTTTTTTAGAGAGAGACTCTCTGGTATGGCGGGGGGTGACCAAAGGTCACCTCCTCGCTCTAACGGGGGTGGTGACGGCGGTACGATGGGAGATGAATGGAGGCGGTCGGGGATCGGTACGGGAGGTTTGAAAAAGGCTGGGGATGGTTCACCAAGCAGGCATTGGGCGGCTCGGGGGAAAGTTAAAGCTCGGGACTCTGTCCGATCTGGTTCTGATGGAGCTGTCGAGGGTCGCTGGGAGATCAAAACGCGGGTTGCTGACCTTAGGGGGTCGCTGCAATCTGCGTCGAGCGGATCTATTTCGACCAGATCTGGCAAAGCCAAGGCAGAGGGTTCTCCCCAGAAGGTGCCTGGGGCAGATTCGCGTAACCCAAAAATGCGGGTGTCGGTCAACCCGGCATTCAGTTCGACAAAATCGTTGATGGAAATGGACGATTGCGAGCCTTTGGTTGAGGAACACGATGAGGAGGAAATGTTTGATGTCGATGCTGCTATGCCGAGACATTCTCGTTCCCTCGCGATTAGCTCTGATGTAGCTGAATGGGGCTATGAAGTTCTGAACTCGGAGGTTGGGGGGCCTGTGTCGCCGGATTCTGCTATGGATGTCGCCCGGGAGGGTGCGATTGGGGAGCTCGGGATGGGGGCTAAGTCCCCAGAAGTGAACATGGGGACTAGTTGCCCTCCAGATGTTTGTGAAAATGCCAGTTCTGGTAAATCCCGTGTTAGCTATGAGGTGCCGCGGGCAGCGAAGCCTCCTACTTCTGGACCTTTCTGCCCGGGGCGTATGGAGAACCAGTGGAGGTGACCAGAGAATATTCCGATTAGTCACCCTGAAGATATCAATGCTCTTGCTGAGGATGGTACCACGATCGACCTCAATTTGGATTGTGTTAAGGCCAATATGGCCAAGCTGGAACAGGCTGTGGTGGGAAAAATTTTGGGAAAGAAGGTGTCGTTCTTCTTGTTGAAGTATGAAATCCAACGGCAGTGGGGGGGCTTTGGTGAGTTGGAACTCACCACCATGGGTTTAGACTTCTTTATCTGCCTATTCTCATCTCGTGAGGCGCATGATGCCGTCCTTAGCGGAGGACCATGGTTCATTGGTGGTAACCTGGTTGGTCTGGATAGGTGGACGCCGGGATTCTCCCCGGCATCCATGGAGGGGTTTTCTTCCCCTGTGTGGGTACGGTTTCCCAACCTCCCGCTCCATTACTGGGATGAGTGCAACATCTCCAGGATTGCCTCGCGTCTGGGGACGCCCCTTTAGATTGATGCTCAGACTAGTACCTGGGGAAGGCGGGAGTACGCTCGGGTGTGCATTCGTATGAATCTGGCCAAATAGCTGATGGCCGGTATTTGGATCAATGGCTTTGATAAGCGATTCTATCAGAAGGTTGAGTATGAAGGAATTGGTTTGTTATGTTATGGGTGTGGGCAAATTGGGCACCGTAAGGATGTCTGCCCGTTGCGTGGTCCGAAGCCCAGTAACCATGCTAAGGTGCAGTCTGGTGATCGTGCCCCCCTCTCCAAGGGGGTGGAGGACGGTGTTACCCAAGCTAAGGTGGATCACTCGGGCCTAAATTCTTTGGCTCCTTATGTGCAGGAAAGTGCTACTAGACTGGGTGGGTCAAGCACTTTGGGGGTGGATGGCCCCCGGGGCGTTGATGATCACCTGAGGGGGTCATCTAAATCCCCCTCTGCCTCGGCACCTCGGATTACCTCGACTGATGCTGCTGTCCTGGAAAATGTTAGGGGTGCCACCTCTTCTGAGGTTGATGAGTCCGTTGGGCCGTGGATCTAGGTTCCGCCCCGCTGGCAGCGGAAAGATAATCCTTCATTGCGTAGTAGCAATAATTCAGCTAATAAACATCTGGGGAAACCTCCGAAGCAGGTGGATTTCAGCAAAGTTAAGGTTCTTCCCAACTTAATTAAGTCTACTCTCCGACAGGCCAGGACGGGGGCTTTTCAGCCCCTAATTACTGCGGCCGGGGCAGGGCCTGTGGTGCCGTTGAATAATAGGTTTGATGCTGGTATGGAATTCTGTCTGGGAAGGTCTGATGGTGAGCTCCCACGCAAGCGGAAGAAGGCTTTGGGTGGTTTTTCTGGCGGCAGGGACGCCTCCCCTTTGGTTTGTTAATGACTTCAATTATCTTCTGGAACTGTCGGGGGGCCCGGAAGAAGCAGACGGAGCACTTCCTCCGCAGCATTGTGGGTGGTAGTGAGGTGATGTTTGTTGGTTTAGTGGAAACTATGGTTGACGAAATTTCTAGAAAGGATGTGAATGCTCTCGTTGGCCCTTGTTGGGACTTCGCTCATTTCCCTGCTAGTTGGAGATCGGATGGCCTGCTTGTGTTGTGGAGGAATGATAAAATTCAGTTTGAGATGGTTAGGATGTTCGATCAGGCGCTAGTGGGGCACTTGGTGTTTCCTAATTGTGAGAAGTGGTGTCTGGCAGTGGTGTATGCCGGCAAGGATTATCACACTAGACGGGGCTTATGGGAAGTCCTGAGCTCGTGTATTGATGCTGAACTCCCGGTGATTGTGGGCGGGGATTTCAACTGTTGTCTGGATCAAAGTGAGAAGAAGGGAGGCAGAAGATTTGGCTTTTCGATTGTCTCTCAGGAGATGGTGGCCTTGTTGATTGATAATGACCTCCATGACTTGGGGTTCACTGGCCTGAAATATACCTGGTCGAACAACAATAGTAAAATATGGGTGTGGCTCGATCGGGTTCTGATGAACTCCGTTGGCATTCAACTGGCTCCTTTGGTTTCGGTGCGGCATTTGCTCTGTGTTGCGTCAGATCATTGCCCCCTGCTGCTGAGATTGGCGAACGTCACCCCGAATTCTTGTTGCCGCAGGATCCGATTTGAAGATACATGGCGGACTTACCCTGCGGCGTGGAAGCTAGTGTAGAAGCTTTGGATGAAGAATGATGTTGGTTGGCCGGATGAGGTGCTCAACCGCAAGTGTTCGAGAACGCTACGTGGGCTTTTCTTCTGGAGCCGGAATCGCTTGAAGGAGCTGAATAAGTTAAAGGTGTCGCTTGAGGCTCGGATTTGTGAGGTCCAGATTTTGGAGTGCACCCCGGAGGGGCTTAGTCCTGAACAAGATGTTGAATTGAGACGGGTGGCTACTGCGCTCAATTCTACCCTGACTAGGTTGGCTATGCGGTGGAGACAACGTGCTAAGGCCCGCTGGGTCGAGGAGGGCGACTCCAATTCCCATTTCTTCCATGCGTTTACGTCGGCGCGGCGGAGAGGGAACTGTATCTTGGAGATTCAGCATAGTAATGGTGGAACGCACGTCTGAGCAGAACTGTATCCAAGAAGAATTTATGGACTTCTTCCGGCTCAAGTGGAAAGAAAGATTGGTCATGCTGGACAATTGGCCTCTGTTCCAGCAGAATGACGGTATTCCGGAGTACCTTCGCGGGGAGCTGGAGGCTGAGGTTTCGGACTTGGAGGTCCAAAATGCGGTTTTCAGCATGGGTAACAACCGCGCTCCGGGGATGGACGGTATTACTGTTTCTTTTCTTAAATTCTACTGGGATATTATTAAATGTGACGTTACTCGTGCCATCCTCCATTTTTTCTGCTCTAACTCTATGTGTGAAAGATGGAAGGACACTTTGGTTATTCTGTTGCCGAAGTCGACCAATGCGGACACTCCGTCAAAATTTTGGCCAATCAGTTTGTGCCAATCCTTCTGTAAGGTTGTGGCGGCTAAGATTCTTATCAACCGAATCAAACCTATGCTTGGCAGCATCATTAGCGACGAACAAGGGGCCTTTGTTCCATGGAGATCCATCTCTAACCATGGGCTTCTTGCACAGGAGTTGATGTGAAAATTCCAACACTCGTTTCAATGTGCGGGTATGATGGCGCTGAAGATCGACATGACCTAGGCGTATGACTGCCTGGCTTGGGAGACACTGCAGTAGGTGTTGCTGCAGTTTGGGTTTCCAGGCTGCCTTATTCAGTGGATCATGATGTGTATTGTGTAGCCTCATTTTTCGCTGCTGATTAATGGTATTCAGTCTCCTTGGATTCAAGCTTCGAGCGGGCTCCGGCAGGTATGTCCGCTGTCCCCGTACCTCTTCATTCTCTGCTCTGAATTACTCTCTAAGGCATTCCAGCAACGTGGTGATCAATTGGGAATCCGCATCGTTCCCAATGCCGAGAAAATTTTGCACCTGCTGTATGCGGACGATATCCTGGTGTTCGCGGAGGCCTCCAGACATAATGTTGCCCGTATTATGAATATTATGGGGGATTACTATGGCTGGACGGGGCACTGCGTTAATAAGGAGAAGTCGACGATATTCTTTAATAAGGGCTGCCCGAAGTGGAAACTGAAGGTGGCGGATTTTGCTAAAGTTGTTTGGAGTGCTCATGATAAGACGAACATTTGGGGAAAAAAGCACCTTTCGTATGCTGGGCTTGCTCTGCTGATCTGCTCAGCACTGCTTACTATCCCTGCGTACCTTCTAGCGCATACCGAGGTGCCGAGTGGGGTGCTCAATTCTATCGAGAAGATCGGACGGAGGTTTCTTTGTCAGAAGGATTCCAATAGCAAGGGTATGCACTATATGGGATGGGACGACCTTTGTCTACCGTGTGATCAGGGGGGGGGGCTCGGTTTCCATGAGTTATCCGTTTGGCGTAGCCCCCTTCGTGCTCGGCTTGCCTGGATGGTCATCAACAAGCCCGATACTCTTCTTCACAAGGTCATAACTGCAAAGTACGGCCCTGACCTCTGGCAGCCTTCTCGGACCCCCAAGAGCTCCGCTACCTGGAGAATCATCCAGGAGGGGGCTGATGCTCTGTCGGCAATTCTTAAATGGCATATTGGGGATGGTCGTCGCGTCAGAATTCTCCAGGATTGTTGGATTCTGGAGCGTAAGATCGAAGGGTGGCCAACATTTGTCAATGTGGAGGAGGTGGATGATACTCGTGTCTGCAACCTGTTGACGGATTCATTGGAGTGGAATGTGGAGATGGTGAATCGCTGTGTTGGCCCTATTATGGCGTAACGCATCTTGGAGATTGACACGAACTCGGGGGAGGGGATTGATACACCGGAGCTCACTAAGTCTTGCTTCGGATCTTCGCTCTCGGCGGTGGCTTACCGGTCCAAAGTTCAGGTACCTGATTGCAACTTTGGATGGCTGCACAAATTGAAGTTACACCCGCACGAGAAATTTAATTGGTGGCGGCTTCTTTGGAATGCTATTCCCAACAATGTGTGGCTTTGCCGGAGGGGGCTTTCGAGCACTCGGCTCTGTCCGTGGGGGTGCGACATGGAGGAAAACACTGAACATTGTATCACACAATGTCATATGTTGAGGAAGGTGATGAGTATCCTTGGTAAATGGGGCTTTGCCTTGCCGAAATTTGACTCCTTCGCCGCAGAGATGGAGGGATTGGCTGCGCTGGCTGAGTCCAACCGAAGCCTTGGGATGATCTTCTGTTATGCGGTCTATCAAGTGTGGCGTGCCAGGAACGATCTGAAGCATACTGGGATGTCCCGCCCACCTTCGATTATTGCCGCTACGGTCCTGTTGTTACTACCGCGGACTCATCTGATGCCAATTCTGAAGCAATGGAGCTACCCTCAGCCTTTCGGGCTGTCTTCTAATCGGTTGTGGTGCCCCCCACCTCCAGGTTGGTTGAAGTTCAATGTCGATGCGGCGGTGCGACCGTCCTATTTGGCCGGAATCGAGGTGGTGGTTCGGAACTATGAGGGTTCTTTCATCGCGGCGGCTGGGAAGCGGTTTGAGCATTGGGACGCCTTTCAGGTGGAGGTTATTGCGGCCACGGAGATCCGGGAGGTACTTCGGGAGTGGATGTTTGATCTCGACGGGATTGTCATTGAGGGGGACTGTTCTAATGTTATCCGGTGGCTCCAACACTTGCACCACCGGCATCACAAGGCGCATTACAATTTTGAGGGTCCTGACCTTGCTTTTTTTGCTTAACTTTAAACAAGTTATTTTTAGGTATACTCATAGGGACAGTAATCGCCCTGAGGATTTCTGTGCCAATTTTGCTCTTTCTGAGAATTTTGTTTTTTGGGATGAAAATGCTGTCAATGTCCCCTTAACCTTTTTGTCGTTGTTAAGGGACGACAGTCATAGGTTTACCTTTACATGTAACTAGTCTTTTTATATTAATGCAAATGCACCAGTTCAGCTCTCTCTCTCTCTCTCTCTCCCCCTCTCCCTTTAGCTCCCTCTCTCTCCCCTCACTCACTCACTCTTTCTCCACTCTCTCCTTCTTGCTCTCTCTCTCCCCTCTCTCTCTCTCTTTCTCTCTCTCTCTCTCTAGCACTCTCTCTCTCTCCCTCCCTCCCTCTCTCTCTCCCGCTCTCTCTCTCTCTTTCTCCCACTCACTCTCTCTCTCTCCCTCTCTCTCTCTATAACTTTCTCCCTCTCACTCTCTCATTCACTCTTACTCCCTCTCTCTCTCTCTCCCTCTCTCTCTCTCTCTCTCTCTCTCTCTCCTTCTCTCTCTCTCTCTCTCTCTCTCTCTCTCTCTCTCTCTCTCCTTCTCTCTCTCTCTCTCTCTCTCTCTCTCTCTCTCTCTGATAGACAATTGGCCGACCTTTGTTAATGTAAATGAGCTGGAAAATGTCAGGTTGAATTGGTTGCTTGATGAAACTACCAGGTGGAATGAGGAGCGGGTGACAAATTGTTTTGGAAGTATAATGGCTGAGAGGATCATGTCTATTGCTACCAATGGAAATGTGGGAACTAACACTCCTGAGCTTATTCATTCTAGGATGAGCATGACACTGACTGCAATGGCTTATAAAGCTAAGATGTGAGAAGGTGAATATAGTTATTCATGGATGAGGAAACTGAAATTACACCCGCGGGAAGGTTTTTTCTGGTGGCGTCTCCTTAGGAATGCGATTCCAACTAATCAGTAGCTTTTTTATAGAGGATTATCAGCCAACTCTCTTTGCCCGTGGGGATGTCAGGTTGATGAAAGCCTGGACCATTGTACAGCTCTCTGCAATAAGTTGAAAGAGGTGCTTAACATTTTGAGGAAGTGGGGGTTTGCCATGCCTTTGGTTTACTCTTTGAGAGAATTAATGCAGGAAATACATGCTAATGTGGAAATCAACCTAAGCCTAGGACGAATATATTGCTACACTATTTATCAGGTTTGGAGAGCTCGAAATGAGCTGAAACACAAAGGGAATTGTAGGCCCCCAGCTATCATAGCTTCTACTGTTCTTTCCCTACTGCCTAAACCTTACTGCTCAATTATCTTGGAGCAATGGAGTACTATCTAGCCCATTGGGCTACCGTCTCAAAAGCAATGGTGCTCCCCCCCTCCAGGATGGCTGAAATTTAATGTTGATGCTGCGGTGAAACCTTCTAATTTGGCCGGAATTGGCATTGTGGTGAGGAACTATGAGGGAGCATTGATTGTTGCTGCTGGTAAATCAATTGACCATTGGGATGCTTGTCGAGCTGAGGTAGGTGCTGCAGCTGCTATCCGTGAGATTCTCATGGATTGGATGTTTGAATTAGATGGTATCATTATAGAAGGGGATTGCATCAATGCTATTAGATGGCTACAGAACAAATATGATCACAGAAATAAGGTCCACTTCAGCAATGAGGGGCCGGATCTCTCGTTTTTGATGGGATTCAAGAAAGTTCCTTTTCAGTATATAAACAGGAATAGCAATTGGCCAGCTCACTTCTGTGCAAATTTAGCTTTACAGGATAGTTTTACTTTTCTTGATGTAAATATTGATGAGTTCCCCTCAACTCTCTTAAGTTTGTTGAGGGAGGAAAGTGATAGGATATAGTTACTTTGAGTGTTTTCTTGTAACTAGTTTACTTCCTTTTATTAATGCTAAATGCAACGTTCAGCTCTCTCTCTCTCTCTCTCTCTCTCTCTCTCTCTCACTATCTCTCTCTCCATCTAGCTCTCTTTCTCTCTCCTTCTCACTCTCTCTCTCCCCTCACTCACTTACTCACTCTCTCTCCTCTCTCTCTCTTTCTCTCTCTCTCTCTCTCACAGACACACACACATACTCTCACACTTGTCTCCTGCCGCACACCCTCTCACTCGCGCTCTCTCTTTGTCTCTCCAGCTCTCTCTCTCTCTCTTTCTCCCTCGCTATCTCTCTCTCTCTCTCTCTCTCCTTCTCCCTCTCCCTCTTTCTCTCTCTCTCTCTCTCTCACACAGACACACACACACACACATAGTCTCACTCTTCTCTCCTGCCTCACACCCTCTCACTCGCGCTCTCTCTATCTCTCCAGCACTCTTTCTCTCTCTGCCGCACACTCCCTCTTCAATCTCTCTCTCTCTCTCTCTCTCTCTCTCTCTCTCTCTCCCGCTCACTCACTCTCTCTTTCCCCTTTTCTCTCTCTCTCTCTCTCTCTCTCTCTCACACACACACTCTCTCTCTCTCTCCCCCTCTCTCTCTCCTCTCTCTCTCTCTATCTCTCTCTTTCTCTCTCTGTCTCTATCTCTGTCTCTCACTCTCTCCCTCCCACACTCTCGCTCTCTATTTCTCTCTCTCTCACTTTCTCTCTCTCCATCTAGCTCTCTATCTCTCTCTCCCCTCACTCACTTACTCATTCTCTCTCCTCTCTCTCTCTCTCTCACATATACACACACACATACTCTCACTCTTGTCTCCTGCCGCACACCCTCTCACTCGCGCTCTCTCTTTGTCTCTCTAGCTCTCTCTCTCTCTCTCTCTTTCTCTCTCTCTCTCTCACTCTCTCCTTCTCACTCTCTCTCTCTCCCCCCTCACTCACTCACTCACTCTCCTCTGTCTCTCTCTCTCTCTCTCTCTCTCTCTCTCTCTCTCTCTTTCTCTCTCTCTCTTTCTCTCCCTCTCCCTCTCCCTCTTTCTCGCTCTCTCTCTCACACACAGAGACACACACACACACAAACTCTCACTCTTCTCTCCTGCCTCACACCCTCTCACTCGCGCTCTCTCCATCTCTCCAGCACTCTCTCTCTCTCTCTTTCCTCTCTCTCTCTCCCTCTCTCTCTCTCTCTCCCGCTCTCTCTCTCGCACTCTCTCTCCCTCTCTCTCCCGCTCACACACTCTCTCTCTACCTCTCTATCTCTCTCTCTCTCACTCTCTCTCTCTCACACACACACACACACATTTTCTCACTCTTCTCTCCTGCCTAACACCCTCTCACTCGTGCTCTCTCTGTCTCTCCAACACTCTCTCTCTCTCTCTCTCTCTCTCTCTCTCTCTCTCTCTCTCTCTCTCTCTCCATCTAGCTCTCTCTCTCTCCCACCACACACACACACTCTCTCTCTCCTTCTCACTCTCTCTCTCCCCTCACTCACTCACTCTCTCTCTCTCCTCTCTCTCTCTCTCTCCCTCTCTCTCTCTCTGTCCCTCACCCTCTCCCTCTCTCTCTCTCTGTCTCTCTCTCTCTCTCTCTCTAAGATGATTTCGAAGGGAAAAATTCATGCGACGCTGATCGGAGGGGAATCTCTCTTGGATCGAAGATCTCGTCGTCGTAGTTGGACGGTGCTCTCTTGTGGATTATGGTGGGGGGTGACCCGCGGTCACCCCCTCGTCACCCTTCGATGAGGAGCGGTGGAGGAAAAGAGATTCGAGGAGGGAAGAAGACTGGAGGCGGTTCTGGTCGGAGAGATGGAGTGAAGATTATGACGGGGGGGGAATGCTGTGGGAGTTAAGAATGGTGATGGTGGTGAAATAAGCCTTTCATCGTCTGGTTTAGGAGGTCGTGCGACCAGACCTCCGAGTAGAGCTGGATCTTCTAGATCGGGTGGATCTGAAGAAGGTCTGGATGCTGGGAAAGGGCGGGTTCCCTCATTGGAGATGGAGATGGGGTCTTTACCTGGAGATCTGGGAATGGAGGTATGGAATGTGCCATTGCAGGCATTTTTCGATCGTGAGGAGGCGATGGAGATTATTAGGGGATTTGAGGCGGAGGAATTCCTTAATGAAGTTGTAGCTAGTAGAGAATTTGCAGATCATTTAGAGGAGATGGATTCTATTGTTACTGGTTGTACGGTGGATGTTAAACAAACCGGATTGTTGATCACTGAATAGATTATGCAGGAGGCGGCTGGTTGTTCTGCTGATGTGATTTTGGTTGCTGGTGACCAAAGAAGACAAGGAGATATGGCTATTGATTCACAGATGGCGGGAGAGACAGAAATTGAGCCTGCTGATGCGGAATCTACTGAAGTAAGGTAGTGGACAATCCCATCTTTGAATCTGATAAACCTTTATTTACGTTTGGACGGTTGAGTCGTATTGGAGACCTTGAGAAGGTGGGTTTGGCTTGTGTTGATATGAATGCTGGTTTGAATACTGATCGGTGCAAGCATAGTTTAGATTTTGATGTTCTGGGGAAATTGCCTGAGGTTAATGTGTTGCAGATGGATAAGGGTGAACGGGTTGGTCTTGGCTGCAAAGACACCCTTGGTAATGCTGAATGCAAAGCAGGTGTTTGTGGAATACCCCGGTTGCTGGCAAGACGGTTAAGAATGAAAATGTGGAGATGAAAGCTGCATCGAATGTTTGGAAGAAGTCTACTGCAGTTAAATTGAATGTTGTTGATAATGTCGACATTGTCTTGAGGAAGGATGGATTAGTTAATTTAGATTTGAACAAGGCCAAGAGTAATATTCAAAAGTTGGATAGAACATTGGTTGGCAGCCTTCTTGGACGACGTCTCCCATTCTGGGTGGTGCAGAATGAGCTTAATAGGAAATGGGGGCATATGGGGTTAACTCAGATCACGCCGATGGGTGCTGATTGTTTCTTATGTTGGTTTGTTAACATGGAAGCTAGAAATAGTGTTTTGATTGATGGACCATGGTATGTGGCAGGTCAAATTATTGGACTGGAGCAGTGGAAAACTGGATTATCTTCCAAATCCTTGAAAGGTTTTGCGTCTCCTGTTTGGATAAGGTTACCAAACTTTCCATTAGAGTACTGGGATGAAGCCAATTTGGCTAGGCTGGCAATGGGCATTGGTGAACCTTTATTTATGGATGAGCAAACGAAGCTTTGGAACAGATGTGCTTTTGCATGCATTTGTATCAGATTGGATTTGTCTAAGAGATTGCCTAAAGGCATTTGGGCTAATGGCTTGGAAGATGCCTTCTTCCAACCCATTGAGTATGAAGGGATCCCCCTGATATGTTTAAACTGTGGTAAAGGCTGAATTATGCAAGGAGATGCAGGCACGTCCTAAGTAACAGGATTTGAAAATTGGTGAAGTGAAGGATCAGTTCTGTTCTAATGCTGATGGATTGGGTGTGGCCGCTTTTTCATCAGGTGGTGGCTCGAGTTGTTCATTGGGATTGAAGGGTGCAGATTCTAGACAGAATTTTGTGAAAATTCATGAAGTTGTTAGCTCTACAGATGTAGATATTGATCATGGGGAATGGACAATTGTCACAAGGAGGAAGAGACCAAATGCCAGAGCTGGTGCTAAAACTATCATGAGGGATAGTAAGCCCGCTGTATTGGCACCTAAAACGGTATGGAGAGAAGTTAGTAAAACACAGAAAGAGGTTGATGTTCTTCATGAGAAGGGATATGCTAAGGGTGTGGCTAAAGATTCTTCTGAATCTGAAAATCAGTTGATGGAGGTTACTCCTTCAGGCATTAAGTTACCCAGTGATATGTTGGTTGACAGCAAGTTGAATCCACATGGATTGAAATAGGAGGGCTCTAGTAGTATGGCACAAGCTCAAGTTCAGGATGACTGATTGGATGGGTTGCACAATTTGATGGATACAGAGGTGGCTGCCATTAAGAGTGTACCTCAGGTTGGTGAGAAACTGAGGATGTTGAGGAGAAACCGTAAGGATATGTTATCCTCCCCTGCTATGCTCTTGGTTCCCAAAGTATTGAGATTCTCAGATAGTAAAGATGGTGTCAAGAAAGGCTTGAACAAGCAGAGTAGGGATTCCAAAGAATTTCACACAAAGGAAATGGGTCGTGTTGGACCCCTTCAAAAGATGTCTGGAATCAGAAGAAGTAAGAAAGCTAATGATGGAATGGTTTCTTCATCTGTTGAACAATTTGTGAAAGTGATTGATAAATCTGTTGATTACAAATTTAAGGAGGGAGACATTGCTGAGCAATGGCAAGATGTGTTTTCTGAAACCTTTGGCGGCGGGGACGCTTCCCCTTTGGTGGATCATGTTTAACATCCTATATTGGAACTGTAGAGGTGCTCGTAAGAGGAAGACGTGCAATTACTTACGGCACCTAGTGGGGGAGTTTGATGTTAACTTCATTGGACTGTTGGAGACAAAGATGGAGTCTTTTGGTAGGAAAGAAGTTGATTGTATTGCTGGAAAGGATTGGGAGTTTGTTTTTGAGCCTGCTATTGGTAATGCAGATGGCATACTTATTTTGTGGAAAGTTGTTGTTCTCTCCTTCCATTTGTTATTTAAAACTCATCAATGTATTATGGGGAAGGTGAGTGGTACCAATGATTTGTTGTTGGAGGTTGCAGTTGTCTATGCTAATAAAGACAGATATGTGAGGAGGCATGCTTGGGAAGATATTTCAAAGGCACATAATTTGGATGCTCCCTTGCTAGTTGGGGGGGATTTCAATTGCATCATGTCACAAGAAGAAAAAAAGGGAGGAAAAGCTTTTCATTTCTCTGGAGCAGCAGGGGATATGGCTGATTTTATGGCAGCAAATGACTTGGTGGATCCAGGCTTTTCTGGTCCTGCTTTTACCTGGACTAATAACAAGGATGCGAGGAGCATAATTTTCTCTAGATTGGACCATTTTTTTGTTAGCTCTCCAATCTTAGATTCTTTCCAAGGATTGAAGGTAAGACACCTCAGCAGAATTGCTTCTGATCATTGTCCTATCTTGTGCTCTTTTCAAAGTGAAGTGAGGCAGAAGAATTCCCATTGGATTAAGTTTGAAGATATTTGGACATCTTATCCTAAGGCTTGGCAATTAGTTTGGGATAAATGGAGAGTGGATGATGTAGGCAATGAAGCTCTTAAGCTCAAGAAGAAATGCCAAAGAACTCTTAAGGCTCTCTTCTTCTGGAATAGGGATAAAATTAAGATGCTAAATCAATTGAAGGAGGATCTGGACAGGGAGATTAAATTGTTACAGGATTTGGAATGATCACCTGTCGGGTTAACTGAAGTTCAAGCTGAGGCATTAAGGTATAAGGTTCAATTGCTGAACAGTACTCTTGCCGTATTATGTCTTGGTGGAAGCAACGAGCAAAAGTAAAATGGCTTGAGGAGGGTGATGAGAACACCAAGTTCTTTCATTCAATGTGATGAGAACACCAAGTTCTTTCATTCAATGGCATCAGCTAGAAGGAGGAGTAATTGTATTGAAGTTTTAAAAGCAGCCTGATGGATCAATTTTAACAGAACAAATGCAGATTTCTGAAATGATTCAATATTTCTTTGAAAAGAAATGGTGTGGAAATGCTATTGTGGAGGATGGATGGCCTTCCCTTGGCTCCCACTGTGATAGCTTGGTTGAAGTGGCGGGTTTTCTAGAGAGTGTTGTCATTAAAGAGGAGATATTGGCAGTTGTTGGTTCTCTGGGCAGAAGTCGTGCTCCTGGAAGAGACGGTGTAACAACATCCTTTTTCAAGAGTTTTTGGGAGATTGTAGGGGAGCAAGTTACTAAGGCTTGTCTGGAGTTCTTTGAATCAGGATTCATGGATCCTGCTTGGAAGGAAACGGTGGTGGTCCTTGTGCCTAAAGTCAAAAATCCAGAACATCCAACCAACTTTAGACCCATTAGCCTCTATCAGACTATTTATAAAGTGGTTGCAAAGGTTTTAGTTAACAGACTTAAAGGGGTGATACCTAAGCTTATTTGTGAGGAGCAGGCTCCTTTTGTCCCGGGGCGATCTATTTCCAACCATTGTTTGTTGGGGCAGGAGGTAATTAATAAGTTCAAGATCTCTAAGGCTTCCTCAGGCTTTTTTGCGTTGAAAGTAGACATGGAGCAGGCGTATGACAAGATGAGCTGGAAGACATTAAAGCTGATTTTGAGGCGTATGGGGTTCCCTTTGAGGTTCTCCGATTGGGTGTTAAATTGTGTCCAAGATCCGAAGTTCTCTATTTTGATCAATGGACAACTTTCAGATGGCATTGTTGCAAGATCTGGATTTCGGCAATGGTGTCCCTTGTCACCCTATCTATTCATTTTATGCTCGGAGTTGCTTTCATTGCACATCCACCAGAACTATCAGAAGATGGGAGTTTCTATTAGTGGTGGGGGACCTTTGGTCTCTCACCTACTTTATGCTGACAATGTTTTGCTTTTTGCAGGTGCTTCTATTCCTAATCTTAGGAATATCATCTCCATCATGGAAGATTACTGTTCATGGATGGGACAGAGGGTGAATAGAAGTAAATGTGCCATCCTTTTCAGCAACAAGGTTTCTTCTACTACAAAGTCCAGGTTGGCCAAGATTGCAGGCTGTAGAAGAGTGGAGGAGATGGAATATTTGGGGCTGAAGTTTGCTTTGAGAAGGCTTACAAAGGTGGATTTTGCTCCACTGATTCAGAAGGTGCGAAACCATACGTTGGCTTGGGGGATCAGACACCTGTCCTTAGCTGGGAGGATTACGTTGATTAATTTTGTACTGATTCCAACATATGTTTATGTTGTGTCTCACACAATTGTGTCTAAATCTGTGCTGAATGAGATGGAAAAGATTTGTAGGAGCTTCCTATGGAATGTTGATGTAGAACACAGAAGCATTCACTATGCTTCATGGGAGAATATTTCCAGACCAAGGAAGAAAGGTGGATTGGGTTTCCATACTAGTGATATGTTGGTTGGACCGTTGCGTGCAAGAATTGCCTGGGAGTATATTTGTAAGCCGTCAAATATACTTCAGAGATGTATGGAAAATAAATATGGTAGATGGCCGTGGGAGTATGAAGGTAAAAGAGGGGATTCGGTTAGCTAGAAAGTTATCATGGATGGAGCCAACAGCCTTGGTCCATGTTTACGGTGGAACATTGGTAATGGCTATGATATTCTTGTTTTGATATCATACATGGATTTGGGATAGGGCCATTACTTCATGGCCTACGTTTTGTGATATCACAGCAATTGAAGATGCTCGGGTTGCAGATCTTATCACGGCGGAAGGTAGCTGGGACAAGTCAAAGCTGTTGTCATGTTTTGGGGAGCTGCTGGTTGACAGAATTTTGGAGATTCAAATTGATAATGAGATGAATGCTGATTCACTTGAGCTTGTGAAGAATCCTATGAGTAATACCATCACTTCAACTGTTTATAACAGAATTTTTCTGTATGAAGATGATATATGTTGCAATATCTTGAATGTGGGTTTGAGACCTCGGGTAAGAATTTTCTGGTGGAGGATTTATAAAGCTATTATTCCTACGAATGGGTGGCTTCATACCAGAGGGCTGGAGGTCAATGTTCACTGTCCTGTAGGTTGTGGTATGTTTGAAGACTTGGATCATGTCACTACAGGTTGTGACCAATTGCATAAGATTCTGGATGTCCTGAATGGTTGGGGCTTTGTTATCCCAAGGTTTGTGTGCCTATTGCTGTTGTTTGAAGCGTTAGAGGCTAATGCCAAGGATAAGAAGATGGGGGTGGTGATTTATTGCAATGCTGTTTATTACATTTGGATGAACAGAAATGCTGTAAAGCATGGGAAGGATCGGAGCTCGCCTACGTTTTTGGCTGGAATTTCCCTGGAAGGGATCAATCAAAATTCACCTTCTTACCACTTGGAGCAATGGGACACTTCTCAATCCTTTGGATTGTCTTCTCTATCATCTTGGTGTCTCCCCCCCTACAGGTTGGTTGAAAGTGAATGTTGATGGTGCACATTTGAGATCTAATGCAGGAGGAGTGGGAATTGTGATTCGAGATAGCTTTGGGAAGCTGATGGTAGCTGCTGGATGGAGTCTTTGCCATTGGGACAGTGGTCAAGTTGAGATGTTGGCCATTCAATATATAGGGAAGCTTGCTTTGGACTGGATGTTTTATCATGAGGGGATCATTGTGGAGAGTGATAATGCTTATGTTATTGAATTTATGCAGAATTTTAAAGCTAAAAGACTTTGGAAGCAAAAACATGAAGATGTTGACAATTGGAGCTGGCTGAGATCAGTCCAACATATTATTTTTGTTCATACCTACAGAAGGTT